CAGCTACCAGTCCGAATGTTAAGCCTTTATAAAGGTTAAAAGGTTGACCACATAGACGTGCAGACTTTTTGTGCTGGTGTAAAGTTGTGCAGTTCAGCATTAGATTTTATAGCGACTTTTGGAGGGCAGCGGACATCATCATTGTGCCGCCTGTGTATAATTAGCTTTTAAGTTGTTTCAGTCCATTCTCCGAGTAGGGCACATTTACTGCATGGCTCGGCCGTAGAGTAAATGTCCCCTAATAAAGTCAGTGTAAACGAGCTCTAATAAACTCATTGTACTCATTCACTGATGCGTTAAGTGAATCTTAACAACGATCCCTGGCCACTTTTAAGGTGCACATCTTGTGGTGGATTTGTATTTGCTTTGGTCTGTTTGTTTTCTGCTATTACAAATGCTCGTATAAGTCCCCACAGGCATGTATTTGTGGTTTGTGTGTTCAAGGATATGCAATTTCCAGTGTAGTGAAATTCCTGTGCAGCAGTTTGTCACTGACTGTGTGCTTTTTTGGGATGTCACAGATCTCATGCTGTCTGTGTGCAGCAAGAACGAATCCCCAGTTGTCAGACAAAGGAATGACAGAAAACTATAATGCCTCCACGTGTTTGTGCGTGGCCGCGAAAAGGCATTGTCCCCGTGGTCCGTGGGGTTCAGGTGTTAATGTCTGCTGGTGGGCCTAATTACTGTGCTCCTGAGGAGGAGCTTAGGGTTGGCGGGTGGGCTTTGGTGGCCACAAAGAGAGGAGAGGGATTGATTTGGAAGTCTGGGTGGGTAAAGGAGGAGGTGGTGGTTGGGTGGGTGGTGAAGACATAGCAGGAGGAAGAAAGGCATGTGAGCTGGAGAAGGAAGAATGAGGAGTAATGAATGACAGAGATGCTGTAAGCAGAAAAGGGCTCTGCCAGAATTATAATTTCCCCCTCTTCCTTCATTCAATACCTTTTCCACACGTCTTGTTCCCTCCTCTTTTTCTTCTATCCCCCTTATCCTTTTGCTTTCTATTCCATCCCTTTCACCCCCCCCACCCTCCCAATCTCCCACCCGTCTCTTCACCCATCTCTCTCCCTCCCCTCCTCTCTACGTCCATCTCCCTCCTCTCTTCACCAGCTGCAGTGCAGAGATCTCCGCCGAGACCCCCGTCAGGCTGTCAGGTGACCGGGACGGAGGCTGTGACATCACCGCCCCCTCGGCCGACTGTCAGCCCTCCGCCGTTGCCATGGCAACGTCGGCAACGGCCTGCGGAGCCGAGGCTGGCGAAGAGGCACCTGCAGGAGAAGGAGGAAGAGAGGAAGCAGGAGAATGCGTAAGGATTCTTTCTCTCTCTCTTTTTTTTGTTTGTCGTGTCTTAACAGCGTTCCCCGTGCGCTCCTTAGGTCGCTTCTGCTTTCTGCCGTTGCCTCGCAGTGTGCAGAAACACACTGATCTATTGGTATTCATCGGTGACTGGGACAAGCAAGGGGACTGCGACACGCACACATGCACATCCCTCACATATACTGATGCAGAGGTATTTGCTGAGAACAAGCATGCAGCGGTCTGTCTTCCAGCTACAGCTCAACGACTGAGGATGCAGTAAAAGGAAAAAAAAGGAGGATTAAGCATCCCTCCAGCAGTGAGCTGCTGCTGGTAACTGAGCGCTCCATTCCTGCTCTCTGCGTGCCTCCTCTCTCTCTCTGCTGGCTGGCTGGCTGCAGCTTGACACCAGGCTCAGCTGCAGCTAGCATCGTGCTCCTCTCTGCATCTGCAGACCAGAACAGAAGAGCCGGACTGACATGGAGTCATACCTCGCTTGCATGTTGTAGCAGCTGTTAGGTAGCTTAGACAACAGATGTCGAGGTGCGTTTGCTTCTTTCTTGCCTTCTTTTATTTTAAATTAACAGCCTCTGCATTTACCGGAGAAACGGGTGTTATTAGATAATTTAGTAGAATATGAATTATTCTCCTTCATTTTATCCGATAGCTGCGAGCTGTGTGAAGCGATGAAAGTCTTGCACCTTTCAGTCATATTTAGTTGCTCTATTCGTGTCTACGGTTAGGAAGACTATGGGCAATCTAAAGCCATTATATGGATGTTATAGGGGATGCTGACGATGCCTTTGGGGTGATGAGGAAGATGCTATAACTATGACCTTTGAACTTTATATCTCAGGTTGATTCTCAGGGGCTTGAGAGACCCTAAAAGAATTTCAGAGATCACTCGAGGAGTGTTTGTCCATCCTGAATGCTGCAGTGTTTGGGGAATTCCTTGCTTTAACCTCTAAAGAATTTGTCGTCTGGAGGATATCTCTCATCTTCGAGGCTGGGTGGTTTGAAGTTGCGATAAGAGCAGAATTTTCAAAGCGTGGCCTCGCTGAATTTACAGCCTTTTTACGAGACTTGGCAGACGATTAGTGCTGCAACTGACTGTGAAATTTGGATTCTTGTCAGCGCTACAAGCCGGGATCAGAGCGATAACCAAAATTTGTTATGTAATGATGTCATGCCAGTGAAGATGGTGACACTGTGCATGGTAACTGCTCTCACAGGCACGCACACACAGAAACACGCAAGCTGGAATTTCAGTCTTGTTGTCATTGCCACCTTTAGTACCTCGGAGAGCTTTGCCCTCTTTCACCTGTTGCTATAGCAACACGACCGTTTGATTGACACACGTGTCTTTCCAACTGGCAGCACGCTAGTCTGGGCTGCAGGCGCTCCAGCTCGGACGCAGCCTATGAGCTGGCTGAGACGGTGAGAGCGCAGCGCGAGTGCCGCCTGCGACCCCACTACAGTGACCCCATGCCGGCCGACGCCTCCAAGCGCAAGCAGCTGGAGATGAAGATCGCCGCCGCCGCTCGACTCCACGGCCACCGTCGAGATCGCGATAGAGACAGAGACAGTGGTAAGTGCATAACAGCTGTGCCACATTGTGTTCCTTCTTCAGGTTTTAGTTAAATTAAATGGAGCTACTTTGGATAAAGAAAATCCCACAAATAAGGACGACTTCAACAAAAAGTGTCACTGCAGCTGAAACGACACAGACGGTGAACTTCCATCAAAGGATGTCCATGCGTCAAATCTGGTTGGAGGTGTTTGGGTTGTAACACAAATGCAACTGTTAAGAATATGTGTGTGTTGCTCAAATATCTACCTCAGTAAACAGGAGCCACACGCTAATCAACGTGATGCTTCCTTCATCCTTGAATCCAACTTTCCAGCCAACATCACTAAGGTCATTTAATGAATGTCACCAAAATCCAAGCAGTAAAGAGTCCCTGGTAGATTCTTCACAACTGGTAAAACACTTAAATTTATTGCCTCTACTTTGCTTCCACACAAATATCTCCAAGCTCGAGTCGAATGACTAAAATAAAACATAACTCAGGGGGCAGGTAGCTATTTAACATGTAGGCTACTGGAAAATCATCAGTAAAGCTTTCTGGATTCTGTATCACTTTGACTTTTAAGACATATAATACCTTTAATAATTCAAAAATCATCCCTGCTGAGCAGAAACTCATACACAGCTGAGATTTCTATCTGCCTTCTTATGTGTCTGCCTGTGTCCAGACTGATGGAGCATGTAACGAGGTGACAGTTCAATATAAGCATACTTATGCAGTGTGTCTGTTCTTGACTTAAGTGCATCTGAATGTGTTACACTAATCGTGAATCAGCTTACAAACACCCCAATTTTAAAGGCCAATGTTCAAAACTCTATGGACATTAAAATCTTGTCCATGTTCTGTGTTTTTGAGATGATTTTTAGAAATCATGTACATCTCAACTACTGTGGGTTGCTGAGTGTAACTGCACAATGGCAGGTAACATTATCTTATGATTAGTTAGAAAACTGGCAACAGCACTTTAAATTTGGGGAAAAGGGCCTTTCAACTTTTTTTAAAGCTATGTAGGTAACCTTAGAGCACAGGTGTCAAACTCCAGGCCTCGGGGGTCCTGCAGGTTTTAGACGTGTCCTTGATCCAACACACCTGATTTAAATGGTTAAATTACCTCCTCAACATGTCCTGAAGCCTGGTAATGAACTAATCATTTGATTCAGGTGTGTTGACCAAGGGTGATATCTAAAAGCTGCAGGACACCGGCCCTCGAGGCCTGGAGTTCGACACCCCTGCCTTAGAGTGTGAATGAACTTCAGTATATTGTAGCCACTTTTCTCAGCTTTGATTTTGTACCAAAGGTTATAAAGAATACTGCTGATTGGTGTATTTGGGGTTATTAGAGACGTACCTGCAATCAGAGCCTGTGATGTCCACTACAGCTGGATCCTTGACCCAGTGTTGTCAATTTGGACCTTTTGCTATTGTTTCGTTCCCCCATGCCTGTTTCCTGTTTTATTCTTTTAGTCTTTTGTCCCGTGCATTGTGTTTAGTTCTACTTCCTCTGTGTCATTAGTTAGATTTATTCCAGATGTTTTCTCACCTGCTTCAACTCTTCCTTATTATCCAGTCTATTTAAGCCCTCAGTTTCTCTCAGTTATTTGCCTTCTCATTGACGACTCCTCGTGTGTAAACTCAGTTGATTTCAGTGACAGTCGTCTACAAAGCTGGATGGTTTGTATTTAGGCCTATTTCCTGTCTGCTAGCATGGAGCAGGTGGGGTTCATGGGTTCATCCATCTACAAAGAGGTGATTGAGATGTTTTGGCTTTGTTTTTGGGGGACTGTCAGGTCATCTATCTTTGTATACAGTCTCAACATATAAACATTGCACATATTCCTATGGTGTATGCCACTGACCCCATCACTGTGTGATGGGATTTGACTCGATGCTTCCTTCCTGTGAACAAATGCCAGCACCTTTACAGATCTATTTGTCCTCATTACACCTCTGACCTCACCATGAGGCGAATCCAAATAAATTGTGAATGAGCCTCCAGCTGAGCCTGGCATTTGACATCCCATCCCGTTTTTCTTTTTTTAAAAAAGGAAAAAAAGGCTTTTAAGAAATACATTTGTTCTGTTTTTACATCCCTTATGCAACTTGGAGTCTTGCTTGTCACTGAACATTATGGCCTTTGGACCCTGTCCTCAAGTCCTCCCACCAAACACACACACACACAAACTACCGGCTTATGTTCCCTGTCAGTTGAAGACCCATTACACTAGTGCTGGGCAAAGGAAGTCCATCAATACGACATATGCTAATGATGACCTTGCTGGCCTTTTCCCAGAAACCTGCGTTTATTTGATTGACAAAAACTGGAGGGTAAATCCATAAACATTCCGATTGCTAATGAATCTGATCATCCTCACATCCCTCTCCCCAGCACCCGCAGCAATTCGTGGTCGCTCAGAGCCTCCCGGTGAGGAGCGCCAGGCAGTCTTGGGCGTGACTCGAACCGGACAACACCGCTGGAGCACCATCAGCAGCCTGAGTGCAGACAGCGGAGTGGTGGGCCTCAGCGATGAGCGCGACGAAGAGGACAACGAGCCTCGCCGTTACCGCAGAAGCCGGGGAGCCGACGTGGAACGAGTGGACAGCGGCATCGGGCCGGGTCTGTCCCGCACCTGGAAGAGACCGTCGGCCTCTCTGAGAGCCTGGGAGGCCCAGAGACCGTGTCCGGACTGTGGACTGAGGGACGGGGCCTCGAAAGAACGGGGAGAGCGCATGTGCGAACGTTGCTCCAAGCTGCGCATTGAACGCAAGGAAGCCATCCTGGAGTTTCTGAACACGGAGTCGAGCTACGGCGAGGACCTGCGCATCATCAAAGAGGAGTTTTACTGCCCCATGCAGAGTGCCGGGCTGCTGACCGCTGAGCAGCTCGCCGTGGTGTTCAGCAACGTTCAGGAGTTAATAGATGTCAACGAACGCTTCACCGAACACCTGCAGGACAGCATCGATCAGGCCTTTGACCAGGTGACCCACACTCTCTGTCTCTCACACATAAATACCAGCTGTGCATGAGCAAAGTTGGCATCTTCTGGCTCACAAACGGATTTCAACATCTCCTGTTGTTGCATAATTCACCTTTAGGGTCACACTTATAATGTCATTAAATGCCATTGTTTCTTTTTTTAACTGTTACTGAGTCCAAATTCAGATATATGTAGAAGTACACTTTAG